GTGTGTGCAACAAACCAGACGAGGTGGAATAGTCAGAATGAGATCAGGATACAGGAAGAAATTGGAAGGGATAGTTAATGAGCTTCCCAGCTCCACTGGGGCCTTAATGGGACTCTGGTTCCAAGCAGACTAATGGGCAAAGGAACTTTCTTTGGGCTCTTTTAACTTGGCTGCTGGAAGGAACTTTGAAGGTCATTCAACTGTTAAAGATTATTTTAATTTCTAAAAGTTGAGTCTATCAATTAGTATCTTGGATCAAGGGACTCTCCAGTGCTGGCGACTGCTCACTTGGCTAACTCCAATAATGAACTCCTGTGACACACATGTGCCAACATGACATCTCCAGCTTCCTGGCGCCCTGGCACCATGTTGGAGATTTCTTTGTCAGCGGTGCATTTAGGCAGTGAGTAGATATGCTGACTCCAAAATGCTAACTAAGCTGCATTAGATTTCCAATACCTCCGTAGTTTGTTGTTTTATGAGCCAACTCTAACGAAAGGAGATTTAAAGCGACCACTAAGAGGATAAATCCAGTTATTTAGGGACGTCCCTTTTTCTCCTCTAATTATTTTTATCTAATCAAACACTTGACTAAATTCCCAGGAGTTCTCCATGACCAGCATTCACTGAGAACTGCAAAAGATTGCTAACTGGGGCATAGCATCTACATGTCCACTGCCCACACCAAGCATAGCGTAGACACACTACATGCTTTCCAAGGGTCAAGGGTCAGCTAAACTGAAAGTCTCTCTCCCACAAGCAAGAAGTGCTTACTTTTATTTCCTTAAGGATTTCATACTTGCATTTTTAGTTTGCTATCTGAATTTACTATGTTTTTCAGGTGATTATGCTACATATTTCATATGCTATATATGTGACTGTGCTATGCATGGGGCAAATGGAGAGAGGAGCAGCGTCGTTTGCCCTGGTCCTCAGGACTCTACGTCCTTACCCTCTGTCTAACACCTTCACTCTCACATATCATCTTCTCGGACCTATTACATGGCTTTCTCCTCCTCTGAGTCTATATTAGATGTTACTACATTTACAAAATCACTCCACAGCTGAATGGCTGATGAACAGAGTGAATCTGGTCTTGTACAGTTTCCAGGGTTCAGGAGTTTGAGCAGACTGGGCTAGATGATTCCTGGGTAGCATGTAAAGTTATAGCCAAGATGCCAGCCAGGGACAGAGTCACCTTTGGGATTGCCTTGAGTCGGAAGGTCGCCTTAGAGATTGCGGGTGACAGCACTACCATCGTTGGCTGTTGCCAAGAGATCCCGGTGCTTGCCACATGGAGTGCTCCATCGGGCTGCTCGAGTATCCCCACCACCTGGGATGCTTGTTGTCCTCAAACCCTGACATGGAGGAGAGAGCAGGCAGTGGCCAGCCACACTTGTGAGAGCATGAAGTCATGTGCGCTTTTGCTCATTTTTCTTGTTTTATGGACAAAGCCCCTTTCAATGTGGAATGGACGGGAATTAGGGATGGATCCTTCTAAAGCACCATAGAAACTGCCTACCATTCAAACTGCTGAGATTTCCTACGACTCTAATAAAACTTGGTGCTCTGCCCTGTGTTAAGATGCTCGTGTCCCTCCTCTGGGCACTTTACAGACTGTGTGTCCTTGAGACTCTGTGCACTTGCTCTTTATTCTTGTGCCACTTCAAGTTTCCGGTACACGGGTTTCAACACCCATCGCATCCACTGAACATCTGGGACCACATCCTGTGCTTTAGCCAGATGGATGGCATTCCAGGACTGGGACAGATGAAGAAACAGAAAGGATGAGGCAGTGACGGAGGAAACATGGGATAGACTGGATTAAAGTACACAAATTACTGGATATATGCTGAGACACTGTGGCATTTCCAAGTGAGTAACACCACACAGTGATGGCCTTCCCGCTTTGGCTAATATGTGGAATGGCTTACTGTACATTTCATTTTACGGAATCTCCTTCAGTTGTGCTGAATATTGTGTGAAAGAATGGTCTGCATATCATTCCTGTAACAAAACAGGGAGTCGGGGCTTACAAACAACTCAGCAGTAATGTCAAATAACATGTTTGCAATTATTTTTACATACGATTGGGAACGTTATTTAACCTTTAGTTAACTACTCTGTCTCTTGACTCAGGGGTAAAATCATTTCTAGATTGATCAAGTGACATTTATGTATAATTTGATCAAAGGGCACAGAAGAACATCAGGACCCAGGAGAACTAAGTCCAGGCAGCTCCTTCTCAAAACTGCTGCTCACGCCCGTCTTTTGTTCCGTTACTCAGTCCAGCACCTAAGAAAAGTCAGGTCAGAATTCTGAAAATAGCTCCAGGAAGTCCTCAATACTTTAAACTTCCTGAAAGTTAAACTCACTAGAACTCCCGTAGAAGGTTCAGAAACTGGCTCCGTCTCTTTGGACTGTCTTATCAGAAAACTAAAGCCAGGAAGTTTATGACCAATAGGAGTTTATTTCTTAAAGCTCTTGACGCTGTGAGGTCCAAGAACAACTAGGAGACTTGGGGTCTGTCTCCCCCACGGTGCCTCTCTGTCCTTGAGTGGTGGAAGGAGTGAGGGCTCCGTGAGGTCCCCTTCACGACCGCGCTAGCACTAGAAAGTGTTTAAGAGAATTTATGTGCTGAGACACGAGGATGACAGAGCGTGGGCAGACTGGTTTCATTTTACAGACTGTTTTCACGTCCCAGAGTCACACTTGAAGCTCCTCTTTAGGGGTGTTCTCTACAGAAAACTTTACACATGTTCTCACAGTCTCGCCAGTACCTGCTTGTGCTGATAGCAGGGTCTGAGACTTGATCTACCACAGCACCACAACCATCAAAGCTGAGAGCATCCTTCTCGCTGCATATCTGTGCAGGCGAAGGTGAAATGCAGCTGCTGCATAAATCACGCTTGGCGTATGTGCATGCGTGTGAAATAGGTGAAGTTTGAGAGAAGGAAGTATCTTATAGTCCTCAGAAGGACACTTGTTGGCAGGGAAAAAGTTAACTGCGGCCCTGGAGGTAGGAATCAAACCAGAAGCAGCTGCGGCACATTCAAGGGGGAAGCTCATCATCGCTCAGACACTTAAGGACTCACTCTCAGTGTAAGCTGACTGTGGATTTTAACACACCAGGGGGTGCTTTTCCACTTTCTGTGTTAGGTGCTGCTTTGAAATAAGTGAGATAACAGAATCATTTAAGCCTTGTAGTTGTTAAGAAATTATCTGCTATAATGCTTATATTTAATCTTTATTTTTTTTCTAGGAAAAGGACTTTTCCTAAAAAAAATAAAAAAGCAGGTCTTGTAAAGCTAAGAACTGGGTGTGAATGAACATGTTTGTATTCTGTCCTTACATAGGCACAGGCTTATCTAAATTGACTGCAAGGCAATTTCACTATTGAAATTGGCTTGGGAATGATCTCGAATTAATATAATCAATTTGTCCACTTCTTCCCATAAGCACATGGGTTCATTTGTCAGCAAAATAATATGGCTTTCTAGGAGATTTATCTTTTTATATAGTCATTTATAAACTTTATAACTGTATTAGTTACTTCTGTATTGGTTTGATCAAATACTAGGACTAATAACAACGTTAGGATGACAGAGTTTATTTTGGTGTGTGGTTCCATAGGAATAGAGTCCGTCATGGTGAGGAAAGCATGGTCTGGAAGCAGGAGCAGGAAACTGGGTGGTCACATTTTTGTCTGCACATAGGAAGGGCAAGATGGAGAACATGAAATAGGTCACAGTTATATATCCTCATAGACTACCCACAGTAACTGATTTCCTCTAACAAGGCTCCACCTCCTAAAGGGTCCATAACCTCCCAAATAGTGCCACAAACTAGGGACCAAGTGCCCAAATACATGGGCCTTTGGGGGCATCTTTCCTTCCAACCACGACACAAGACAATCCAAAATTTTCAGGATTTTTATATATTGATTTATTATTAATTCTATAGCCACAATTTGAGAAATTGAAAGTTTTCATAAAATGAAGGTTATGAAACTGGAAAAAGATCCTTTTAGTTGTTCTCTTGCTTCTAATTTCCCCTTTTCTGTTTGACTGGCTGTTGGGCATAGTTTTTATTGGTCCAATGGCCATTTTCCTTTTGACTTTGTCAAGTTCTGGTATTATATATTATTATAACTACATTCAAGAGGCAATGTAAAAGTCTGCTTCTGTGGGAACCTCAGTGTAACGTAAAGGCAGTATCCATTGCACAGAGGACACAGTGGATAAGGAGAAAGAATGTGTCCCCGTGCTGTGTGGTCAGTGTGTAGTCAGGGAAGAGTCAGTGAACGTAGATACCAGGGCTATCTGCATTATCTACTTTACAGATGTGAGGAGTGAGCAGGTTAATTGGAAATTAGAGCAGACTTCAAGCAAAAGATGATTTTGAATCTCGGGTTTAAACAACTGTTTAATAAACCTAATAATGTTAAATATGAATTAGCACAGTCATTGTTCTGTATAGTTAAGGGAGTACCCCCAGTGTAGGGTAACACTCTGGAACCGAGATTGGACAGCTGTAGTATTGGAACAGAACATGCCCACAGCATGTAAAATTCTATCCACCATGGAGGTCCCATAGGTGTAGTGGCATTTCATTTGTATCTTAATAAATAAAGCTTGTCTGAAGATCAGAGCGTAAAGCAGCCCCACTGGTCAGTCTTACAGAATAGGCAGTAGTAACATCCATCTTTAATCCCTAGCCACACTAGTTGCCATGGAAATCTGGCGATGCATGCCTTTAACCCAGGAGTGCACACCTTTAATCCCAGTCCTAGAGAGAATTATAAAACAGGAGGAGACAGTTCTCACTCTCAGTCTCATTCTGAGATTCCAGGAGGCAGGATCGCCATTTCGGACTGAGGTTGAGGTAAGAGCCAGTGCCTGGGTCCTTTGCTTTTCTAGTCTTCAGGTTGAGCCCCAATATCTATCTCTGAGTTTTTATTAATCATGCTTTACATAGGCGCTTCTTCTTTGTCTGTGCAGGAGCCCCGTCCTGGTCTTCCAGTGTAACCACCGCCACGTGATCTGCTTGGACTGCTTCCACTTGTACTGTGTCACAAGACTCAACGACCGGCAGTTTGTCCATGATGCTCAGCTTGGCTACTCCCTGCCGTGTGTGGGTAAGACAAGCTCTTTATTCATTCTTATCACTTCATACTAATAAATAACAGGGGAACTGTTGAGATAAACTGAGTTATGCCTGATCCTGGCCCAAGAGTTGAAAGTTGAAACATGGTCAATGCCAAGAAAGAAACTTTAGCAGGTAAATCCCAGGAGACACAGAACTCCCGGGAACCGTGCTACACTAGACTATGTGCACCTTGCTTAAAAGCACTGAAAGTAAACTTGGAAAGTATTCACCCAAGCTATAAATATGCCTATGGGTTTGGCTAATGAATTCTGGATTTGTTACTCTGTACATGAGCGATTTTGTGCAGGTGCTTCTATAGAAGAGTCTTTCACCAGTGATTTCGTTACTCTGTGCATAGAGCAGTTTTGTCCAGATGTTTCCGTACACGAGCCTTTGACCAGTGGATCTGGTGTCGATCGTCTCCTGTGCTTGTTGTCTATACGCTCATTTCGGTGCCTGCTCAGTCCCTTGCTTTCTTCTGTTTTTAAACTGGGTTACTTGTTGTTTTGTTGTTTAATTGTGAGTTTCTTGAGTAGGAAGGGCCCTTGCTTAAGCCTGGTGACTTGAGTTTCATCCCAGAGCCCATAATGTTAGGAGAGAACCAACTCCAAGTTGCCCTTTGACCTGTATGCACTCAGTCACGACCCACATGTACAGTCATAATAAATGAAATTTTAAGATAACTAGATACTGAATTTTATAATTTGTTATTAATGTTTATCCTCTTCTATAGTTTATCTGTTTACCAATAATTTTGGCCAAGTCGAATTTCTTGATGTCTTTTGTTATTTAAGTGTCAAATGTTACTCATTGCCATATCTGAGATAATGGTGATTTACTTCTATGATTTTCTTGAATGGTTGACCTCTTATATTAAGTTACTGATGCATTTTGAGTTATTTTTGTGTATTTAGCATGGTTGGTGTCCCTGGATTGCCACATATATGTTATAATGGCTATAAAGAGATTGAATTGCCCCACTGATTTGAATATTGTAACTAAACACTTAGTCACCATGGCACTTGACTCAATGGTTAAGTTTGAGTTTTAATTTACTTTCTTCTTGACTTTAGTGTGAATCTTAGCAGACATGTCTATGCCTCTAAATGACACAGATCCAAACGGAGAGTCTGATGCAGTGTTGACTCCGCAAGTCATGCTGGTCATTCTTTGACATATTCTATCTGTCGTCAGTCATGAGATGAAGCTTTATCGCAGTTTACATATATGTGTATCAATATATAGATGAAAATTAACTGAAACATATCATGTTTTTATATTTTTTAACAAAAGCATCAAAATCCAGAAAATCATTTGTGAATCCAGCATGCTCCTTCCCTTTCCATATATGTGGGGATGGTGCAGACAGTGTGCATGTACCACAGTGCACACGTGGAAGCCAGAGGACAGTTTAAGGGGTGGTTTCTCTCTCTCCACCATGTGCAGGGATTTCAGGCACCTTTACCAGTCGAGTTATCTCACGGACCCCAGTAGCCAGGGCAAAATCATTTTGTACTTGGAAATCATTTTCCTCACTAAGTCTTGAACTGTGGAAATATTTCTTAAGTACCACTTTTAAGATTGTTTCATCTCAAGATAAGTTTAGAGAGTAGTTCATTCCCTCGTGTTTCTGAAATGCCAGCCTGGAATTATGGGAAAGTTCCAATATGTAGAAGCAAAGAACAGAATTATAGTGGAACTCAACAGACCTTCTGCTCACGCAGTACACAGGGTGGAGCCTTCTCCCTGGGGTCCTCGCACAATGTCTGGAACCAGCCATTTCTGTGGAGGCTGTGTTTGGAGGTCAGAATCTGAGCTCTCCAGGGACATGCTCGCCCTTGTATCTCTCCCTATCTTAGCATAGCTAAAGAAAAGCTAGAAAAGAGAAAAATTCAAGATACAAATTGCAATGTTAGTTTTTTTCCAGTTTTTTAATTGATATTTATTGAGCTCTACATTTTTCTCTGCTCCCCTCCCTGCCTCTCCACTCCCCCTTCAGCCCTCCCCCAAGGTCCCCATGCTCCCAATTTACTCAGGAGATCTTGTATTTTTCTACTTTCTACTTTCTATGTATATTAGATCTATGTAAGTCTCTCTTAGTGTCCTCATTGTTGTCTAAGTTCTCTGGGATTATGGTTTGTAGGCTGGCTTTCTTTGCTTTATGTTTAAAAAACAACTATGAGTGAGTACATGTGATAATTGTCTTTCTGTGTCTGGGTTACCTCACTCAAAATAATGTTTTCTAGCTCTATCCATTTTCTGGCAAAATTCAAGATATCATTATTTTTCTGCTGTATAGTACTCCATTGTGTAAATGTACCACATTTTCCTTATCCATTCTTTGGTCGAGGGGCATTTAGGTTGTTTCTAGGTTTTGGCTATGATGAACATTGCTGCTATGAACATAGTTGAGTGCATGTCCTTGTGGCACGATCGAGCATCCTTTGGATATATACCCAAAAGTGGTATAACTGGGTCTTGAGGAAGGTTGTTTCCTAATTTTCTGAGAAATAGCCACACTGAGATCCAAAGTGGTTGTACCAGCTTGCGTTCCCACCAGCAATGCAGAAGTGTTCCCTTTTCCCCACAATCTCTCCAGCATAAGTTGTCATCAGTGTTTTTGATCTTGGCCATTCTTACAGGTGTAAGATGGAATCTCAGAGTTGTTTTGATTTGTGCTTCTCTGATGACTAAGGATGTTGAACATTTCCTTAAGTGTCTTTTAGCCATTTTAGATTCTTTTGTGGAGAGTCCTCTGTTTAGGGCTGTACTCCATTTTTTATTGGATTATTTGTTCTTTTGATGACCAATTTCTTGAGTTCTTTGTATATTTTGGAGATCAGCCCTCTGTCTGATGTAAGGCTAGTGAAGATCTTTTCCCATTCTGTAGACTATCATTTTGTCTTATTGACCGTGTCCTCTGCCTTACAGAACCTTTTCAGTTTCAGGAGGTCCCATTTATTAATTGTTTCTCTCAGTGTCTGTGCTGCTGGGGTTATATTTAGGAAGTGATTCCCTGTGCCAATGCGTTCAAGTGTACTTACTACTTTCTCTTCTATAAGGTTCAGTGTGACTGGCTTTATGTTGAGGTCTTTGATCCATCTGGACTTGAGTTTTGTGCATGGTAATAGATATGGGTCTATTTTCATTCTTTTGCATGTTGATATCCAGTTATGCACGCACCATTTCTTAAATATGCTCTCTTTTTTCCATTTGCTATTTTTTGCTTCTTTGTCAAAAATCAGATGTTCAAAGATGTGTGGGTTGATATCCGGGTCTTCTATTTGGTTCCATTGGACCTCCTGTCTGTTCTTATGCCAATACCAGGCTGTTTTCAGTACTGTAGCTCTGAAGTAGAGTTTGAAGTCAGGGATTGTGATGCCTCCATAAGTTCTTTTATTGTATAGGATTGTTTTGCTATCTTGGGTTTTTTGTTTTTCCATATGAAGTTGAGTACCATTCTTTCGAGGTCTTTGAAGAATTTTGCTGGGATTTTGATGGGCATTGCGTTGAATCTGTGCAATGTTAATTTATAGGGACTATTTTGGCTCAGATACAGGCTTGCAGAATTTTAACTGAAATACACCAATATTGCAAAATTTTTCTCTCGGCCGTAATAATAATGTTCCCTCTTACTGAGTGACAGCTGGGTCGCTATGCAAGTGCACTTCCTTCGGAACCTTGCCTTTTCCTCAATACTGCGCATCACTATACCATAGTGATCCCTCCTATATAAGACCACTCCCTCCTTCCTTCCTGATAGAACACCACTGAGTTCCATTGTGTGCACAGTCTGTGGTTCCCCTTGTTGTTGAGCACATAGTTTTCTTTCTTTCTTTATGACAAACCCCTCTGTGACTAGTTGACATTTCCCTGCTGCTATCAGGGTGTCTGTGAACTAGGTCCCTTGTAAGCGGGGGTGGCTTGTCAAGTGGTCGAAGGCAGAATGTGTGTTTACTTCACTGTTTCCCACGTCTCCTCTTAGGAGCTACAGACAGGCTCCTGCCACCTCCCCACCAAGAGGGAGGAGAAATTTTTCTAATCACATACTTGAGAAATGAGAGTTTCTCATTGTTTTGCTTTCTATCCTAATTTCTGTCTTTCTGTGTGTCTAAGATCTGCATTTGTTTTTCTCTGCCGTTTGTAAATCAAGAGGTGGGTTAAATGAATGCATTCTGTGAGGCGTGTTCTGCACAGCACATCACTGACAGCCCCGTATAATCACAGCAGTGGCCCGCAAGATTAGATCTCTGCTATTGTTTTATAAAAAGGATGCATGTAAATTAGCCTCAGTCTTGTGAATTCTTTGCCACAGATAGCTAGGAGCTGCGTGGAGGACGGCTCCGCTGGCCAAGCTACCGTGCCAAGCGGTGCTATGTAGGCTCTGCTGTACTCCAGTGCCTGTTTGAAAGCCACCTGATTCCATCTGTAACTAAGTGTGCCAATGGGGTTGAGTCCTTGGAGCTGGAAACCCTTGGATTCATCTTTCTGTTTTCACAGTGGGCGAGGCGGGACACTAATGAGCTCCAAGTTCCCTCCTCCACCCCCTTCTTTCCTGTCACCTGTGAGTGCTGCATCTCCAGTGTCAGTTATTTAAACGTGATACTCAAAAACTTGCTTTATATATCAAAAACGTCTCCCTAGTCTCGAGACCTTACTTTCCCCAGCATGTCTTCCCTATCACATTTCCAAGAAACAATAAGCCCGTATTGGGTCTATCTTACTGTTGAGGAAGGATGAGGCAAATAACCACCAGCGGCAACGTACCTGTCACTTGGCTGTGAGTGAACTCTCTCTCACTCGGCTGTGAGTGAACTCTCCCCTCTGCACAGCCCATTCAAACACTGCTGTGTTTCCGTGCACGTGACCATGTCTCCCCAAAACTACCCACTTCATGGCAGTATCTGTTCTTGTGTATTATGTTCGCTTTCTCAGCAGTGGACTTGATGCTGTTTGTACATGCTTTCCCACATGATGTGAGCAAGACTC